CAGGGGGAGGGGGAAAGCCTGGGAAAGTGAATGAGTCAGCTTCTGCTGCTGCTCTCGTAGCGTGCGCGTTCGCTCGCGAGCGTGCGAACGTGACAAATCGATTTATCGAAAGACATCCCCTCGTGCTGATAATGCAAACCATGCTATCGCATGAAAAACAACGGAGAGAGAGGCAGGGCTCACCTTTCCGAACTGGCAGAAGTAATCCTTGAGTTCTTCGTTGGTTGTGCTAGTAGCAACACCCCCAATGAAAACCTTGTTCGTTTTCGTCATGGCCTAAAAGAGGACGAATGAGGGACAGTTAAGAAAGCAGAAATTTGGTGTGGGGAGTAAAACCTCAGGCTGGATGATTCAAAGCTTCACTGGGATGCCTAGGTCTGCCTTAAAAGTATAAATGCAATTAAATGATGAAAAGCTTGTAGGAGGAGGCGAAAAATGTGTCTGGAAAGTTCTATAAACGAATTGTATGGGTCTGAAATGGAAAGTCAGCCGGAGCTTGACAGTCACAGACGCAGACGCGTGAGGAGAAAGATAACAAATTAAATAAAACTAGGGCCATCGTTTGAACGCGTGCAGGAGTGGTTCGTGCCAAAAGCAATTGTGTGAGTGGACATGACTGAGACATTAGACCCTGATAAGGATAGTTTATGGATATGGGCGCGGTGGTGGCTTGACACTTCGCGTTCGACTCATTAATTGCCGCGATTTCCTTGTCCGTGTTGGATGCGGGCTCCGTAATTGCGCGACAATTATGCTCGTTGTCGTCAAAATTGTTGTTGCTGTTTCATTTAACTTGCTTTCCAATAATTGTAACGACTGAATCACAGTCAACTAGGTGGTCGTTTTTACTTAATATTGCTACATGCAACAAGAATATTTTCTGCATAACTATCCCTTGCGTATTACAGCTTTTTGCGGTTATGTGATTCTATGATGATACTTAAAAGCTATCCTCACCCAGAACTTCGGGAAACTTTCGTCTGTAAAGATGTTTAGGGGGTCATTGACGATCTTGGACTCGTATGCAAGAACCCTGAAGTGTGCATCAAAAGCCTACTGGGAATCCCTTATCAGAGTGCCGAAAGTCTATAAGGCAGGCGAAGAGGCCAGGGGGGGGCTTAAGGTTTCAAGAAGATAAAAAGTGACGCATGAAAAGTTGCAGGTCTGGGATCAGAAGGTACTTACCCGAAGGTTAGGTGCAGGCTTCCGAGGTACAGCCAGCTTGGGGTCAATCTGTGAGGGCAGAAAGATTGAATTACTTGTTAAAAGCACCAACAGTTGGCGCACAGGAAACTTGGCTACAAAGCTGATATGGGCAGAACGGCACTCTATGGAAGAGAATGTACTTTGCCGAGGTAAATTTTCACCGGTGCCGACGTCAATGTTGGTCTCACCCTTTCTGCCCGCATCGTAGCGCTGGGGAAGTATGGCGACAGGCTGAATTCTCTTCCACGGCTCAAGATAGGGGGCAAATCTTGATGATGGAAGTTCAGAAAGCACTTCAGTGAATTAACTCTACGCCCTTAGGCAACCAGGACTTTCCCAAACCCACACACCAAATCTCTGAAATGGCTTTCGAAAATAAGGACGATGTGGAAATGATAGCGTAACCTAACTGAGAGCCATGAAATTTCGAGAGTTCTTCAGCTTCTTCCTCTCCAATGCGTGCTAGGAGTAACGAATAAGAAAAATGCAAAATGGAATTGGTACAGAAAGTTTTTTCCTTCCACCTTGTTTTAACTCTCTTACTTTACTAATTAGCCTTCGTGACTATGCCCTATGGCCTCTTGACCTTTCTGCACCAATTCAATTTTGTATTTTTCTCATTCGTTTCTCCTAGCACGCATTGGAGAGGAAGCAACTGAAGAGCTCTCTCAAAATTTCATGGATCCAACAAATCCTGCTGTTTTTGCCATCTACAAATTTGCACCTGGGAAACTCTGCTTTAAATAACCGAGAGCACCTGGTTGCGGTTCCTGATCTGCTTTATCTACTTCGGTGGAAACGCCTTATCGAGAGACCGAATAGGACGTTTTGGTGTGTAGCGTGAAAACTAGTTTATAACGATAAACAGACCGGAGGAATTTGTCTCATCACGACAGAACAGTGGGATCTGGACCACATAGAAATACAGTTGACCCAAATATTTGTATAAACATACACAATAGCTCTGTCAAATTGGATACAAAATCAGAGTCCTGTATCGTCCGTGACGTTCTGTCTTAATTTTCACTTTTGATCGTTGCAATTACTAAGGAGATTTTGGTAGCCTCGAATAATTAATTTGACCCAGATGTGAAAAACTTGGCGGTCTCGGTAGGATTCAAATCCACGCCAGCAAGGGGAAGGCTTCAGTACAGCCGATGCTCTTACCAACTGAACTATGAGGCCCCACCAGGAGCCGGGATTTTGATCACACGGTAAAAATAGATTATAGTTACCACCAAAGTAAACCTAAACCCCCCAGAGTCATGTTTTGTGGGAGCGGCGTTAAAATGAAAGCCTACCCTTTCGGATACAGAACTAGTATATCTATTAAACAACATATTTCAACCGGAACAATCCGTGCAAAAGAACTATTTCATACATTACTACTGTTTGCGTGTTACAGGTCTTTGTGATCCTATGGTGATACTTATCCTTACCGATCACACATGGATCAAGTTACACGCCCAGCCTGAGAAACTTATGGGATTTCCTAATTCTGATACAGTAAGCTGACTGCCCAAACAGGGTTTTCTAATCAGCAAATCTAAAATCTCACGGATGACTACCAGGCGGAATTAATTAATGAGGGTGGAATAAATTAACCCCATATGCTCAACCCGCTCACTAAAAAGGGATTCATTGAAGGAGAAAAATTCGCAGCTGCTGTGAAAGGCGCTGGAGAAGGCGAATTAACCAACGAGGCAGAGAGTCAGTTCGGGAGTAGATCAAAGCCACCAACTCTGGGGGAAAAAGAGGCAAGAACCAACAAGACTTCAGACCAACGGTTGAGTATCGGAAAGTGAGATCACATGCCGAATTTAATAAATTACTTTTTACTCCTCCTTAAAGTTGATTCATTTTGAAGGCAGAAATAAGTTATCGGAGGGCGATATTAGAGGTGTAGGAATTTAAACTGACGCAACGAGGGGTAA